AGGAAGTGTCCTCATGTTGCGCCAAGAGAGGGTCAGGTTAGGCATTAGGAGGAATTTGTACATGGGAAGAGTGTTCAAGCCTTGGAACAGGCTGCCCGGGGCAGTGGTGGAGCCACCGTCCCTCGCAGTGTTCAGGACACGTGTACATGAGGCGCTCAGGGACACGGGTTAGCAGGCGTGGTGGTGACGGGTTTATGGTTGGACTGGATGATCTTGAAAGTCTTCTCCAACCATGATGATTCTATGATCTCTACAAGCACTCACTAACAATCCATCCCATAAGCACAAAATCCATTTGATAAATTTAATTTTTGAATATTCACACCTGGAAAGCTCCCACAGTCGGTCTGTCAACTCGAGATATATCTGGAGTTGTATCATCTCTAGATACAGCTAGTCCCACCGTTAAGAAAAATCTTATGCTGTCTTGCTGTGTTTTGCACCAGCTCATTTCCCTGTGTCTAAGCTACTCACCTCCAAAGTCTCTCTTCTCCAGAGCCCTGAGAAAGCTCTTTCAGAGTTGTCTTCCACCCATTTTCCGCTTGCCAGAGGTTGGGTGGCATTTGCCATCATTCCTGGAGAACAGCTTGGACTCTGGTGCCCCAAGTGAAATCCATATCCAACTCCTGAGCCTCTGACTAGCCACATGGTTTTTCTGCTGCAGGTTTGGCAAAGAGCCCCTCTTCTCCCCCAGCAATATGCCTTTCTAAAGGACAGGCCAAATCTAGTACCTGCATTTTATACTAGACATTTCCATCAGCTCGCTTGGTAAGTTCACTGTTCTTGTATTTTGCTCATCTATAGGTCTGGGACAAATTTATACCACATTCCCAATTATGAGAATTCTGCAAGAAGCAGCTATCTTTGCTTCATGTCAAGCTGTTACTTCACAAACTTAGGGGAATATTCTTCAATTTTCACAGCTTAAGAAGTCAGTGGAAAAACACCGGCATCGCAGAGAAGCTCAGCCTGTCTAATTATCGAGGGGTTAGAAACTTTCTGCAGAAAATCTGTCACGTGTTTTCATCTCCAAAGATACAGGAACACACAGAGAATGCAGGAGGAAAGGATTTAGATCTCCATACTAGTGGGAAAATTCCCCTGTCCCAGGAAGGTTACTCAAAATTTGCACCAGTTCTTCTGGAGTCTGAAATATGAAGGTGAGACCCTCCGGAGGGCAACAGAGGCATCCCAGCTATCGAATTGTTAGGATTGCACAGGGAGGAATCTGTTGAATCCAGCTAGAGCAATGCACGGACCGTCGTGCTGACGTGCAGGCTACAGAGCTGGGTAGTGGTGCCTTGGAATGCCCATTTTTAAGCAGAAAAATCACTCTCTGTAGTGGTTTGTACGTACAGGTTGTCCTCTCCCACCCGTCCTCAGAAGCCTGTGCTCAGCCCGTTCTGTGCTGTGATTAGAAAGGTGACTATTTTATTATTTTAAAGTAATCAACATGGAAACAAGAGCAGGGATCGAGTCATGAACAGCCTCATGGTAACCACCACATTGACACTTAACATGAATATAACAGAAATTACAAGTATGTTAACATCATTCACTCTCAGTCGATGAACAAAGTGTACAGTAAAGTCAGCATTAATCTATGAAGAATGCTACAAAACCAGGCAGCCCGTGTCCTTCCAAAGCGGAGTCCTTGCTGCAGGAGGGGCTGGGCTGCGCGCTGGCAGCTGCGCTCCCACGCTGCCCACGGAGCCGGCCACTTCCCTCCCGTTTCTGCACCTAGTTCTGCCATTTCACATGGTTCGTTAGGGGGAAACAATCCCTGCCTGCCAGGGAGAAGGGGCGACGGCGCCGAGGGGCAGCCCTCACGCTCGGCACGAGGCCGCGAGCGCCGCGCGGGAGCCCGCACAGGGGCGAAGCCTCCACGCGCAGCGCGTGACATCCGTCAGTGTCTGCCCTTGGAGCTCCCTTCCCTCCCTCCCCCAACTCCTTGCTCTGTGGACAGGACGTGCTTTGGGAGCCGTACCGCTTTCAAGAGGCTGCTTTTACATGCTTATCATCCTTTAAGAGAAATTCCGTAACTCAAAATATTTTGCTTGTGTGTAAAGGGCACTTTAAAGACACTCCTTCCATCTCCTAGTCCTTACACCGTACCTTCCTCTTCAGAACATTTACTACCGCATGTATTTAACCACCTGCCTCTTAGCAGAAGTACCAAGTGACAGTACAGAGGGGTAACTTGCATTTTTTACTGTGATCCTGGCTCCTTTTGGTCTGAGCAGCATAGGGCAAGTTTCTCAGCTAGGACACTTTCACGAGCAGAGAGAGAGGTAAACTCCCAAAATAAATGTTCCCAGTCTTTCCAGCACCAGACCGGAGGACATCGATGTGAATGAAGCAGTAATCTCCATCTTTCTTCCCATCAGGATTTCTCCCAGGGTTTCATCCCATCTGCTATGTTGTTTTCACTGTAGAGACAAGAAAAGGTATCAGCTTCTATCCATCTTTAGGGAGAAGAAAATAAACACTACAGCTTGCTCCTGTGGGCTCCCTTAAGCCCTCCCCTCCTGGTCCAGTTAATGACTCAGTTGAAAACAAAGCAGCCTGGAAAAGTAGGTATTTCCTTTTAGTTTTAAATAATAAAATAATAAAACAGCAGCGAGAGTTCCATGAATTCACTGAAACAAATGCTGTTGAATGGCGCAGTATTAATTATTTCAACAGCAATGCTTTTGGACACTGTTTTCTTCGATAAGTGTTTTCCATAGCTAGCTGCTTTTAATTATCTTTTCATTAATTATGGCGAAGCAAATCTCAGCCTCTAGCACAGTTCTGCTCCATGCCAAGCCAAGTTTTGACGTTCTCAGAAATAATGCAGTATGAATCAAAGCAGCAACAAAGCAGCTGAAGGTTTGTATTCATCTTCTGGTCACCCAACCTAAAAAAAAAACCCTGGAGAAATTAAAGCCTGAGGCAAAACCAAGGCCGCGGTTTCACAGAATGACACGTTCTGCAGCAAAAATGCTTGAGGATCTTCCCTTCCTGCTTCCTCTCTCCTCACATGTTGGTGGGGCAGGAAATACACAGTGGAGGCAGGTTATGAAGCCACTGTGTTTTCTACCACATCTAATAAAACAAACCCCTTCTCTCCCAGGAGAAACGCACCGGTGTGGTTGTCCTGCCAAGCGGCCCCTCTTCCGTGCGATGCTTCCCGGAATGAGGGAGCTCCGAACTGTCCCGATAGTCCCGGCCCTTGGAGCTCTGCATGTCCAGCACGGCCCGGCTCTTGGAGGGCAGGGGCGGCTTGCTGGATTGTCCCTGGCCGCTCGAGCTCGCTTCACACCGCGATGGCTTGACCATTTTTTTGAGTGGCGACGCGTTTTCCGTGAACGCCGCCACCTTCGGTTTGCCTTGAGTCTTTTCCGCCGTGGTTTTCTCCTCGGTTTGGCCGGAGCAGGTGTAGGAGCGGAATCGCGGCGTGGGCACCAGGAAGGGCGGCGCTGGCTGTTTGCCGGGGCCCTTGGCGCTCTCCAGCTCTTGGAGCTTGGCGAGATGAAAGCTCTGATCGTGCGGCAGGGGCTGCTCCTTCCGCGAGGCCTTGGCGTAGTCGGGCTCCTTCTTCAACGCCGCCTTCCCCTTGGAGCCCATGGAGCCGTAGAGGGGGTTCTCGAACATCTCGGGCTTCTGCTGTCCCTCCTCCTGAAGCAGAGGCTCTGCTGCGTTTCTCCCCAGCTCAGGTGGCCTACAGGGATCAAAGCAGGAGACTTGGGAAGAGCAGGCAAGAGGGACTTACCGATTTATGGGGAAAATAAATAGGAAATGAGCATGATTTCCTCGGTCCAATCAAACCGAGTATGCAGAGGGGTAAGAGCATAACCATTCAACCTGTGGGGAGAGAAGGGGATGGAGTAGAGGATTTTTTTGTCTGCTTTAATCTGTATTCATATGATAGCTGAGAGCAGATAGAGTTGGTGATGTACAAATCCAGCTGGACTACAGTCCGGTCAATGTGACACTTGGGCTTCTCTTCAAACAGGTATCAGATACAGAGCCAAGCTATGCCTAGTGCTGTGATGGCTCTGTTGCAGGCACAAATCTGAATTTAAATATTCATAAGAACCTTCCAATCTGGCAGAGGGGCTTGAAACAGCTGCCTAGACAGTTAACATAAGAGCTCACTCACACTATGTCATTTCACAAGTAGCTTGATCTCCTCTTGCTACCAATGCCTCACAGCATTCCAAGAGAAGGAATAAAACTCCTCCGTGCACCCGAAAGCACAATTTACACGTAACAGCTACTTACTGTGGGCAAGAGCAACGCTGTACGTGCAGAGCCAAACCCTTTGAGTTCGCGATAGCGGAAGGCCCCGAGCGGCGCGGGGCCCCGCCGTGCCCCGGCGCGTACCGGCGCGCTCCGGGGCACGCGCAGAGCAGCAGACATCGGTGGGAGGAGGAGGCCTGGCGAGAAGACGCTGTTTGTTGCGCACAGGCACGAGGGTGGGGTATCCTCATCCCTTTATCACACTTGGTCAGTAAGGGGTATATTTCAATATATGGCTTTTGCAGTAAGACTTGTGGCAGATGTGGCACACAGGTCCTAACTTCTGTTGCAAGCTGGATCTTTTTTAAAATAATGTAAGTAGAGATTTGGCTTAAATACTCCACATGAAGCATGTAAAGGAGCTCTCCTTCATATCTGGGGAAAGGGCTATGCCATACTCTTCCCTGTTTTGCTGCATTGCTACAGTCTGCTCCATAGCCTTTTCTTTTTTCTTGTTTTTTTTTTCCTCTCTAGAACCGACTTGGCAGAAAGTTAAACAAACTCATATAATTTTTCCTTTCCTTTCACAAAAGATCGAGGGGGTGCTACACTAGTTTCCTTTGAGTCGGTGACATACACTCGTGACCTCCACTTATCTCCCGATTCTAGAGGCAAAAGGCTGAAACAAGTTGTTGTACCTTGAAATCTCCTTACAGATAATGTAACTGTGACTGTGCAGAATGGCAGGAGAAAAGGGAGAAAGCGCAATGGGCAAAGACTCACAGATGCTCTTGACTCCTACTGCAAATGCTCCGGTTCCCTGTAGGCTGGAGGGAGGTTTTTGGAGATAGAGGTGCCAAAGAGGGCGATGTGGTGGACGCCTCTCTCTGCCCCATCCCGGACACATTCTCTTTGGGCTGCTGCTCGTAGCTCCAGAGAGAAGACGGCTGCTCTGGCGAGGGTATCTGCTTCAGCTGGCTCATAGCAGAGGGTGGCTGAGGAACAGCAACCATTCCCATGTAGTTGGCGTTGCTGATGTCTGTGGGAGTGGAGCTGCTGGAGAGAAGAAATATTGTTAGGAAGATACATGCAGAAATACATTTTTCTTCTGTCTCCCTGCCAACTACAAGGGAGTCGGTGCCCACTGCCTGCTTTGATACAATACCACCTACTGCTTTGCTGTCACTGTTGCTTTGGAATAAGAGCCAAAGTGGGAGTTCTGGTAGTGCCTCCCTCCCCGGGGTCACAGGAGAGGAAGCAGCGAGGCGCAGGCCGCCTCCTCCAGCCCCGAGAGCTCCTGCGGCCGTGGCAGACGCTTCCCTTTGCAGGCTGCCCGGAATCTCAGCTCTCCGGTTCCGTGGGCACGTTTAGGACCCAACGGTCCTTTTACGGGTTTCTGGGCCCAGTAGCTCAGAGGGCAGCCACAGCAGGATGGCTCCAAGCAAGGGGCCGATTATGGTGCTGGAAGCATCATGCAGGGTAGGAATCTGCTTCTAGAGCAACAAGGGGAGGCATTTGGCCTTCTGAAGGGCATCCATATAGATTAGCAGGCAGAAGGCGAGGAGCGCTCTGCGAAACGCTGAAGAGGGAGTGAAAAGGGAGCCTTGCACCGAAGAGCCCTGCGACTCTTGCAAAAGAGAGGCAGGTGCCCTGCTTCCCACCCCGAGCTGGCAGAGGAAAAGCAGCAGCATTACCAAAACATATCCTCCTTTCCCGGGGCGTCTGGAGAAGAGGAAGCACTCCCCCAGTAGCGAGCAATGGCAGCCGCCTCTTTGGCCATCAGACGAGTAGGTTTGGATTTTCTGTTGGAACAAAAGGGTCCTCTTTAAGACGAGGTGTAAGTGGGGTGCAGGGACCCACTCTGACTAAGGCACTTTCATCTTTTGCAGCTTCGGGCCCAGAAGCACCGAGCAGACCTCATGAAAGGGGCACAAAGGCAGCGCCCCAGCGCTCCCATGCTACAGCACCTCCCTCACAGCAAGCCGGGCTTGGCAGTCATTGAACCAGCTACTTCACTGCAGCAGACCTTCCCGTCTGCCCTTTACCTGTTAGTCTGGTCCCAGTCCTTGTTAGGGTCTAAATTACTGACGTTCTTTGGTTTCTGTCCAGCATTTTCATCACGTTCAATCTTGACAAAGTCTGGAGAGAAAGAGAAGGCACAGAAAGAGTGCTCTGGTGGCTTCAGATCCTGATTCCCTCCATTTTCCATATTACTACTTATATTAAGGCACCTCCCTCCATCTGCCAGAATGTCTGTGAGCTGCTCTTAAAGAGTGATGTTGGTATCATATTTTCAACTGCTTATCATGATTTGTTGGCACAGGAAAGATTCTGCCCTGAAATACTCACAAACAAATGCCCTGGTCCCCAGAAGAGTCAGATACAGCTAATTTTACCATCAGGCATGCTGCTTGTGAATGTAATGAATCTCCTCAGGTAAAATTAAGCACATTCATAAAATTTAGGGCTATATGATCCAAAGCAGTTGCATTACAGCACTAATGAGCCCTGCTAGCTCATCTGTGGTAACTGGCCATCATACATTGAGCATATCTCAGTTGGGAAGCAGAATAGGTAAATCCACCTCCATCGTGACTCAGTCATTTTAAATGGTATTATTATTCTAAGTGTTTGATGAAAAAATTGTCCGAGTAAAAACGCTTCAGTGAAGACTTTTCCTCAAGAACAAAGCAGTCTGTGTGAGTGTTGCATCCGGCCTCGGAAAGCTACCCAGAGTTAAACCATTCTTAATAATCTCTTTCGGAACATAAAATTCTAAAGAAGCAAGAATTATTCAATGATAAAACTCTAGTTAGACTTCTCTTCTTGAGAGACTGGCTTCAGCAACCCCCCCATCGAATGGACACTTAAAAATAAACCATTTCAATGATATCTGGCTTTAGATGATGCTTTTGAGCCACACGTGGCACCAAGAAACTCCCATGTGAGGCACACAAGGTGTTTTCCTGAACTGAAAGGAACGGGAATCATTTCTGCTGCCTCGATACGAATGGATTTGAACGCCCTCCTGCTCTGTCTTCGGCAGTTACAATAGCTGGTCGCCTGGCACAGCTGGTGTCCAGCCAACAGTCACAAAACAATTCCTCATTTCTAAGGAAACACACATTAACATTTGTATCCCAAAGGAGCGCAGGAGGCAGTCAGATGATAACAAGCAAGGCTTCGATCTGTTAGCTGAGGAACTGCTGCTAAGGAATCTGACAGGCTCTTTGCAGAGGTTCCCCAGGTGTCCGGAGACTTTGGTACCCTGCCATGCAGCTATTGCAATTGGAAATAAAGTATCACAGTTCAACAAACTCAGTATCAGTGACAGACAGGGGGCTCTCTCAGTCTGCTAAATTTACTCGAACACTCAAAAAAGAAAAACCCAAATGTAATTGCTGTTCTTTTCTGAAAAAGCCCAGGTATCCTCCGGAGAATAAATGATATTTACATCTTTGTAGCCAACATCAAAGGCTCTTGCCTACATGGAAGCAAAAACACTCCAGGGGTAATTTTCAATTCCTGGACAATTAAGAGGGCTTTATCAAGGCAGAAATACTCTAGAGTGACCATTACAGGGATGATCCAGTTCCTTACCATACAGTTTCTCTCTCTGCTTTCCTTGTGATGTCTGTAACTTGATTTCGCCTTGGAAGACGCCAGTTTTCTCACCATGGTGTGTGAGCACAGCATGGATAGGAACTAAGGATTCTGTGGCTTCTATTCGCAGGGCAATGCAGCCTTCCCCTGTAAGAGAAGGAGTAAGACTGGAACTGAGAAACAACGCGCTGAAAACCATGTCTCGTGTCAGTCTTATACTAGCGCTGTGCAGGTGAGGCTGAGCTCACGGGAGAGAATCTGCTTTGGATCACAGCGAGACTATAAAAATCTCTTGGGAAATAAGGGGCATTCATTTTATTTCTTCACATATGCGAGGAGGATTTGGGCATTTCAGGCACCAGTAGGGGACTACAGAGTCTGAGCTTCCATTACGGGTAAGAAGAACACAAGCCTGTTACTGCCATTTTGGTTAATGGGATTTCAGTAAAGAACCTTCTCCGAATGAGGACCGCAGTCCCTGACTGATTAAAATTTGGAAGCAAGCAGCACTGACAGTGAATTCTCTGTAGCCAGGAGAAATGCTTCAAGGAAGTGCTGCTGAAGCAAGAGTCACATGTCCTGAATCAAACCGTTCAAACAGCCCGATCCCTCAGTGAGTGCCAGCAGAATGCTTTCTTTTCAAGTCTCTTCTCTTTTGGGGCTGGCATAGTTTACATAGATGCAGTATCTAGTTCACAGTCTTCTATTCATCATTACTTCATAACGTATTGCCCACAATGTACTTTTGCACGTATTCAGTTCTAAATCAGAATTCAGAGCATCACAGATGTTCAGTCTGTAATAGCTACCTCTGTTCTCCCACTCTTCCAGGGATTTGGAAAAATCGAAGTCGATTTTGACTCACCCAGAACTTCAGAGCTGAACACTTACCATAAGATTCATCACTGTCTGATGACTTGATGCTGATCAGGATGTGTTGATCCAGGAGGTATTCTGGGTCTGAAATAATCGGAGTCAGCTGCAAAGACAGATTTTGTGCCCATCACTACAAGGGAGGTCGGCATGAGCAAAGTTCTCCCCTTGTGCCTCCATCCAGGAGGGTCACAGCTCTGCTGGACAGACCCTCGCGCCCAGGATCAGTGTCGCTAATGGACTTTGCAGGTGGATGGCAGAATGCCACACACTTTGGAGACACCCGCACTCTCACAAGCAGCCTGACACATTGGATGCTACAAATCAAACACACTGGGTTGGACCACAGGGTTTTTTCCTGAAAACTGGTCCAGAAGGATGTGGTCTGCACTTGGACTACAGTCTACTCTCAAAGAGCTGCCTGGCTGTTGTTGCAGTGACTTATCGCGGTCTCTTTCCCCAGTCTATCTGTATGTGGCATTCTTGCCAGAGTTCTTCTTTTGGGCTGTTGGAAGGGTACTGACACGCTCCTTTGCTCCGAACCCAGGAGCTAGGACAGTTCTTCCAGCTCCCACCGTGCCAGGAAACAGAGAGCAGCTCCGTGGCAGGGCCTGTCTCTGACTCTGAAGCACAGAATACTACTGCTGACTGCTGATGGTCTTTTTAATACAGGTGGAAAATATTTAACGTTTCTCTGAAATACCAAGAAGAAACGTTGTTTGACAGGGCAATGAAACCTGAGGACAGAATTGCTTCTATGCTGCTTTATCTTCCACCTAAAAGAAAACAGCGCGGCTCAAAAGACTTACCAGCTTAATTATGGTCACTAAGAAGGTGAGATAAAAAGTTACACTCTTGAGTACCGTAATCATACCAGTAAAATTCCCAATGCAATATAAGTATACTAGCAAGAAAGCCCTTTCTTTCTTATAAAATACTCCATTTAGCTTAAACCCATCCTGCATTCTCATGAACTCTTAAAAGAGTAAACAAGACCGCAATCTGTTCCTGAAACTAGCATTTATATAAGCAAAAGACTTAAATGTAGTTTATGGAATACAAGTGGAAGGCTTCTTTTCCATATGGATATGGAAGCAGAGTCTCAGTTTACCTTTGGAAGAGCATCAATGAACTTTACCACAAGTTCCCCTTCGTTCCCATCCTCATTTTCTCCTTCCTGGCTTTTTACGAAAGCTACAAAGTGAGAAGAACGGAAATCATCAGAAGAGACACAGCAAGAACTTGGCTACAAATCCCTTTGCACATGGTAGATCTCCAAAAGAAAGACCTGTGATCATTTTTTTCCCACTTGGACACAAGTTTTAGGTGTAATAAGATATTAAGGTCTGAGCTCTGGGTGGATGTTTACCCTGTAAATTTACAAGTGTTCTTACTAAGGCATTGTTAAATGATTTTATTTTACAGTTAAGCTTGGCAACCGAAAAGCTCATTGCATGCACGGACTGGAGGATAAGAACATGACAGCTCTTCCTACGCCACTCAAGATAGCACACTTTTGAAATTCTAATTTAAGATTCGTAATACACTGTTTCCATAGAAATTTATGCAAATTTTGATACAGCCCAAAAAATAATCCTTTATGGAAGTGTCTTTGCCACAGCTCTCTGACATGCGATAATGCGATGAAGCAGCCACCAAAGGCATGCTGTCCCACTTACAGGAGCAGCCCTGTGATGGGGAATCGCTTAAAAAAAACCCAGCAAGGGCCTGCAGGCTCACGTTACATAAACGGCTGAGACAGCCCTGCAGCACAGGGACGGGCACTGAATTCTGTGGCATGGACACAGAGTCCCGCTCACAGAATCCTCTCGCTGCCTTTCCTTTCACTTTAAGTCCATCCTCTCATTTATTCTTTTCAAACCAGGGGAAGGAAATAGTTTCTGCTAGCACAGTGCACATCCTTTACTCCGCAATTACCTAACCACTTGCAGGGGGCATGATTAGAAATTTAATCAATCAGGCGCTCGGTAAGTAGAGATTTTTTTATGTGGCAAGCAAGAACAACACAGGTTGCTCTGTAGAGGAAGAGATGACCAGATTGCAAAGCAGGATGGAAGACACAGCACAAGGCTACATGTCTAAGCATGAATTACAGCTAAATGGCCATTTTAGATGTGACAGTGGAAGATAACTTGCAAACTACAACGAATCTCGAGGACATCCCTTTTTCTTTTTGCAGTCTTAACAAATGACCCTCACAGCCGTTTGTTTAGTCAGAGCAAGAGGAAGGGGAGCTGATCCAAACAAGCACGTTTGGCAGTAAGAACAAGCGCAGGCAGCGACTTACTTTCCAAGCAACTGGAGTGGAACTCGATGTAGAACTTGGTCTGCGACTTGGTCTTCAGGGTGGCATAGCAGTGCAGGAACTCTATCTCCCCTTGGGAGTCCGTGTACTTCAGGTCTGGCAAAGAGGAGCAGAAATGAGGACGCTTTCAGCGGGAGAGAAGCAGAGGGCACGGCTAAGGGCGCTTTTTAGGACGTCAGCTTTTCCCCGGCCTCCGCGCTCGCTGCGGGCGAAGGCGGCGCGCTCGCCCCAGCCCCACTGACCGTTCTTGGAAACGAACTGCGAGGTGACCCCGACTTCGAAGGTGGCAAACACGGGGCTGTGGTCGCTGGTCATGATGTCCGTGGTGCAGCCTGCCAACGAGAGGGGAAGGGTAGTCGCTGCCCTGCCTTTCTGCCCGCTCCAGCATGACCACCCTGATAGAAAGCGTATTCCGTAGCTTCCCAAAGATCGTAACTGTCGCTGTGGAAACTGCCTCTAGTCAAAGGTGTTTCTGCATAATCTCGTGGTAGTGCACAGGAATATCACTATTTTGTAAAAACACATGAAGTTTGGTTATGGGACATAATTTCACCAGTCCATTTTGCAAGCAGCTCTCCATGTTAGATTGCCCCAATATGAAAAGACTCCTGCCTCCCCTCTGCAATGTGCACAGTTAATCAGGCAAGAAATTGTGCAGGAACACGCCAGTGCTGCCTCTGTGCTGCTGGGCAACTCGTGGCAGAGATTCACAGTGGGGTCAATGAGGTCCTGACTTGATCTAGGCATTTCTGACTGCCAAAAGGGTCAGTGCATTGAGCAGAACAGGACAGACTTTCCAGATGTGCTCGCTCAACCACACACCTCATCAGATCAGTCCATCTGATCCCGCAAGAGACTTCTAGGAGCCCCCTTCTCACTCCCCGGCATAGGAAACCCTCAGCATTGCACTCACTGCTTGGACGTAGATAGAGTCAAGGACATTTCAGGAACTTGTACGTGGGTGTTTTTTTAAAGAGGTTTTGTGCATTTCCCCTCTTCCCAGCCCAGCACCTTTGTGAAGCTTCTTCTCAGTAGGAAGGGGAGCAGGCAGCCCCCCTGGTAGCACCCAACACAACCTCTGGTCCTCTCCTGACAGGACAGAGATGTTTGCAGCTCCAGGCCCTGCACGCTGGGCCGTATACATGGGGTCTGCCCTGTTGGCACCACCATGTAAGGAGCTCCTGATGGGAGCAACACAGGAAAAGATGGCTGTTGCTGCCAGGGGGTAACTGGCATGAAAGTGATCCTACTGTGTGGCCTAAAGCTGGATGGCTACAGCTGTTTAAGGGGCCTTCTGCATATAAAAGAATAACAGCATTAATTTCCAGCCTCACAAGGTTACAGGCAGAGAGAGTTGGCTCCAGTCTGCCCAGTTTTACATCGGGTCCCTCTGTGCTGAGTGCCTGGCAGTGGAGGGAGATCCTACAGACTCTGCTCTGAATCATTTCTGCTTCAGCCTGATTGCTTTGCTCTCAACAATCTGTTAGCTACCCACCATAGGACTGACACACAACGTGCACCATGGGGTATGATTTCCAGAGCACTCGATCACACCAGGATGGCAAATTGTACTTCATCTGCAAACCAAAGGAGAACTGATGTCAAGAAGAAGGGAAAGGACCAGTTCACAAGAAGAACAGGAAACTCACTTGCCCAAGTACCACGTGTTTGGGACTTTTTTTTTTTTTTTTTTGTATTGAGTCTATTCAAAACACTACAGGAGGAGAAGATGGAGAGATTGGCTTAGGTCACTGTCTTTTGTAGGTGTTACTTCCCCTGCTCTGGCGTGAATTTCTGAAAGGAAGGAGCTGGTTATCAGTTTTCACCTACCCCTGTGGCTTTCTGCTTGGTGTACGCGTACTTCTCCCGGGTACCTCTTTCAAAGCGGTAAGTTGGAGCAAAAGTTATCTCTTCTTCCTCTAAAACAGACAGAGAGCTCGGTTACAGCTCGGCCCTTTGAGAGCCCTGAAATGGGCACAACAGCCATTGCTCTGTGCACCCCGTCCCACAGCACCAGCCCTGGCACGGGCAGTTGCTGGCAAACGGGAGCAGAGGAGCTTACCGAACTGCAGAAACACCTTGTGGTCCTTCCTCTCTAGGAGAAGCTGGTCGAAAGCCAGCAACTCCGGATACTGTTGCTGCCTGATCTTCTGGATAATATTCTCTGCTTCCTGCCAACAGGAAAACAGCAGAGCTGCAGATGATGCAAAACCTTCTTATAAATCCTCTCTCACTGGTAAGCCGTCAAATGCTTCTGAACTCCTCACAAAGTCACACCCCTGGCGTTGCTCAACTTTTCCATTCACCAAAAGGCCCTAACTTTTGCTGCACAGCTGGGTGTTCATCTACCAAACAGGCATGGAAATCTCCACGCATTCCTGAGGAGCATGCACGCGCGCACACACACACACACACACACACACAGAGCTGCTGGATCCACACCAACACCAGAGCTGCTGTTACCTCCCACCCACTGAGATCTATTCAGTTTTTATTATGGCTGGCCTATTTGGAGCCATTATGAACTAACCAACAGAGCAGAAAGGCAATCTCAGATCTAACTGCTCAGAGACTGATGCTCATTCCCAGTGGGAAGGAGGGTTGTGGAGACTGGGGGAAGTGATGACACCCGAAGGAAGACAGGGTCCCAGACGGCATTCCGGCTGTGCCCTGGGGCCATTAATCCTCGGGGTGGGCCAAGAGGATAGCCTCACTCTCCTGCAGATGGTGCCACACTTATGCCTTGGGGATCCTCTCCGCCTCCCCTCTTGTGCCACTTTTTCTGTCGTGGTGCCTTGGACCAGAGAAGATGGCGTTTCCATCTCTCCATGGATTCAAGCAGAGTCCCTCACCGTTGGCGGCTGTTCCACGCGATAGTTCAAGTCTCCCAGCCAGAAAAGATGAGTAAAGCGATGAGTGATGTTAAACGGACTCAGTTTCTTATCTCCCAGCGTCAGGAAGCGCAGGATGTTCGTGTAGTTCTGGTTGCGTCTGTCGAGACAAGAAACATCTGCCTGATGTACTAAATTACTGCGCAGTTTCTAAGTGCCTGGGTTGGCAGAGACTGCCGAGTTATGAGGCAGGAACCGATCTGGATCAGCAGCTAGAGAAGAGCAGAGCGGGAGCTGAGACCCTGTCTCATTTGCCCCACAGGAGACAGGCCCAGAGACCACGCTTGGCTTCTCCAGGTGATCCAGTCTACCTCACAGCACTGGCAATGGGTGGAGCAGCCACCAAGGCACATGGGGAGCCCCTGGGGCAGGAGGGCAGCCCTGCGTCAGGAGGGGACAGTCACATTCACAACAACCCTGACTGCTCTGCCTTGGGTGTCAGACTGTTTCCACCTGAACTGAAGGGTTAAAGCTGTCCCAAAGCCACCTTTGTCACTTCCTGGGGCTGTGTCTTCCTGAGCTGCATCTCCCAGAAGTCCAGCATTAGACTGTTGCTATGAGTTTTCATCAGCAAATACATAACTAGATTTTGGCTGCTATTCCAGGCACTGGGAAACACTTCCATAGATGCTAACTCCCTCAGTGGCAGAAATCCCATGCCATTTGTTTCTGGGGTCCTGGTCAAGGAAAGGTGGCAAAGCCAGCCTTTTTATTTCCTCCTCTTTGTTTTCAGGAGAGTTCCTTGCAACTGCTCCGGCTCGACCCAGAGCATGTGCTGATCTCCCACCAGTGTCAGGATCTTTGCTTCCCAGTCCTGCACAGAGCCTGCCTAGCCCACAGGAGCTCGTTTTACAGCTGGGTGTACAGAGTTAGCCATTCCGGATATATTTCCATGCTCCACAGCCTCCCTCTGGGTAATCCCTCATGGCATGCTCCAGCAGGCAGGGTTGTTCTTGGTGCACACCACAGCTCCCATGCTCACGTCACCTCCCCCAGCAAGGAGGCAGGTCATCTCTTGCAGCACATTATTTCTGGGTGGGAAGAGCCTGCCAGCACCTCTCCTGAACACTGTAATTCAAGGAATTGCACTGGGCTTGCATGACAGGTCCCACGAGTATTGGGCAAGTTATTTTTGCTTGGCTCTTCATCATCCATTTCACCTCATCTGTCTTGGCTACATAGGAGAAGTCACTCACTTAAATGGTGACAGAATGAGCAGGGTCTTTGGCACCTGTTGTCCTCCCAGGGGATACTTAATTGAAATTTATTTCCATAACAGCCCACTTAGGACCCTCTGGTGGGCCCTCTTTCAAGCATGGCCTAGAGAATTCCACCCCAGGCCAACGTATGTTTTTGACAGGGGCAGGTGTATTTTACCTGTGTTTCTTTTCGCTTCCTGATGTCAAATGGCTGTTAACAAAACCCAAGGATGTTCCATTGAACATGAATGACACCCCCACAGCTCCTTTATTACCTGGAAAAGAGAAGGCAAAACCGTCAAGAAATCAATCCAGCTCCAAGCCAAGTCTAGGAAAGATAATGAAGCAGCTAGCACATCTAAGTGAAGTGGAGGATGGGGAAGAGAAATAAATTGACTTATCAGTGCAGAAAGAATTAGTAATTACAGCACAGAGTGTGGTAACATGTTTCCTAAAGGATGCTAAAAAATTAGCTCAAGTGAAAGAACTGCCGCTTCCTTCTGAAACACAAGAAAGTGCAATCCAGCAGCCAGCTGAAGGCTTTTGCTGGAAATACATATATACGAGCCGAGGATACACACAAATGGATTTCCTCTCTTGCAGGGTAAGATGTAAGCAGTGCCAGTGGGATACAACTTAAGGAGCACCCGTGTCACACAGAGGCCGTTAAAGGAGCCTTGTAGAGAGGGCCGTTCCGCGCCAAGGGACGGTGGCGGCCCCGAGCGAGCGGCGTTCGCCCCGTGGATGGGGCTGCTCCTCTAGCCAGGGTGTTTGCGATGCCCGTCTTCACGTTGTCGGTGCAGATGTGGCTGATGCGGTTCTCGTGCTCGGGCTTGGCCAGCACAACGATCCTGATGTTCCAGAGGGTGTGGATTGCTATCTGAAGGATGGGAAGGCTACAGGTTATATTTCTGCCCAGACCTGCAAGCTGTGCTCTAGCTCCAGCCTTCCTGACTCCTTCTCCAGTATTTTTCCCATACAAATTTTCTTACTGTGCTCAAGACCTGCTCTCAGTTATTTTAATCAAAAGTGGGAGGAAGGGCCTGGATATTTTCTGGTGCTATTTTCTATTTAGTACTTGAATAGCCTTGCTTGCACAAAGTATGTTTCCCAATCACCAGAGGAGTCATTAATATAAGCCCTGCTCTCCTGTGGCCTACCAGGTATGTTTAGCTTTGTTTCTTAACATCACTGAAATTCCGTAACAGCCAAAGATGGTCTTAATAGGGTCCAGTCTTTTTTATGATTGTGCCTAAGGGCTGTTACACCTTAATTTACACATGCAATAGCTCAGGCTGAGATGTAGGTTACGGAGTTTTACAAACACATTCGTTATGAAGGACATCCACATGGTCAAAGCACTACCACCACCCATGGTGGGTGCTCAGCATCTATCCTTCACTCTCAGCCAGGCAAGCAGGAGAGCAGCATGGCAGGATCTACCTCATCTTGTCCTTAGCAACAGAGCCAGCTCACCAGCTCCGGGCAGACCCCGGCGTCCACAAACAGATTCGGTTTGTTACCCCTCAAAAAGAAGGGGAGGGAAATACGCTCTCCTTGAACCTCTGCGTTATGTACACGCAGCTGAGAAAAATCGCTCACCACTTTGAAGCTGATGCTGGTGATTTCCTGCAGGGACTGCCGCAGGGTCTCCAGCCACTCCTTCTCGCCCTGGGGATCCTCCTGCGTGCCGATGACGTAGATGTCGTGGGGAATGTAGTCAGCAGTGTCATCCCGCGTCTTCCCCTGCCCCTTGGAAAGAAACCAGGAGGTGATCTTCTTTGGGGGAGGCGCAGCACCTTTTATTAACAAATCCAACACCAAAGTCAGTCAGAGTATGTCCAGTCAGACCAGGATACAGACTTACACACACGCAAGGGGACAGAAGTAAATATGCATCACGTTCACTTTGTCAGCAGGGCAGACTGTGCTAAGGTAGCAGAGATGCTGACCCCTCCCTCACATTGCTCTGACCACCTCTGCTTTCCCAGTGCACCAAGGCCATGGTTAGCCAGGTACAAAGGTAGGAGCTGCATTCGTGGCTGCCATGCCTTTACCTCAGCCCTCTGTGCTGGTGGGCACAGACAGCAGCAGCTGAACCAGACCCTTCTCCCCTCATGTGAAAAATAGCTTGAATTCCACTGTCCTCAATCATTTCTTGTCCCCTGCTCTGAGAATCCCAGATACTCAGTTGTCTTCCCAGGCTGGACGCGAATGTCTCCAGACAGGTTTGGAAGCAGAGGGTGTGCGGTTACTCGGTGTGCTCCTGCGCGCACGGAGGGCACTGGGGCTGCCCGAGCTCCGTGCCAGCCACCATTTCCTGTCACTAGAGAAATCCTTCAGCACCCGTCAGGGCCACGTGCTTTGACCAGACCCATGAAAAGTGTCAAACCACACACAGGAATAAGCATAGCGAGCAGCTGTCCCTATCCCAGGGGAAGAGGCCCGTGGTGTACAGCTCTGCTCCTGAACACACACCGTATCGGCAGCTGGTCACGGCAAGTGAGCACAGAACATTTTGGCAAGTGTCAGAAGGGAGCCCATACCCATATTCCAGGTCCCGATGAAGATGGTGATCATATCAGGCTCTGGCTGCTCAGAGTGTTTATTCTTCATCTGCTGCAGAAGTTGGCAGAACCCTTCTCTCTTCTAGCAGGGAGGAGCAGAGACATTTAATGAGGTGATTAATTCCACCAACGCTGACCCCTTGAAAAACTAGCTGAACTGGGGCAGAAACTTAAAGGCCAGATCAGCTCTCCATTAGCCTGAAGCCTTCAAAGAAGTTGCCTTTCCTGTGGTTTTCTCTCAGTTACTTAGGTTGTGCACTTCTTTAATTAAGGTGCCAAGTTGGTCAGAAGAAAGTCTAGACTTTCCTTTTGCTTGGATGTGCGTTTTCACAACTGCCCTTTCTTCAGACTCTTTCCTGCATCTCTCCCTGCTTCTTGACATGTCCTCCTGCTGCAGAGAAGGCATCTGGCCATATTTGCCCTCTCCAGCATCTTCCTTGACACAGAACACTTATTTCCTGGCTGTTTCCACAGCAAAGGAGAGATTTCACTACAGCAAAGCCAGGTCTATCCTCCAGCAGTTTCTTTCCCCAAAGGAATGCCCTTCATTCCCTCCCACCCATGTACCTGCCTCAGGTTAGTAGGAAGGAAATGCTGTGCATGTACCTTGGAATCTGAAAAAACATATTCCTTCCGCTGTGTCTTTTCTTTTTCTGTTTCCAGCACAATCACCAGTTTGTTAGGGACCTTCTGGGACTTGATAAGCTGCAAGACTAAGCAGAGACTGGGTGTCACGAGCTGAAGTCGCTGAAACTAGAGTACAACCAAAACTAACAGGACGCCGCGCTCAGGTCCAGGCCTGGTACAGTCTTCTATAGCCCTTTACCCAGGCTACATTTTAATGGTGCTTGGGTCATTTTCCTAGTGTGCAGAGGGACACAGGGCATAATTTGCTCTCTGCTAATTCCCAATGCGTTTGGCAGTGAGGTCCCTAGAAAAGATGGAAAAGATTCCAAGAAAACCCCCAAAACTCATAGAAATCTTCAGAGAGCTGCTTGTTCAGGGACATCACAGAGAGAAAGGGAAACCATTTGAACTGGCCCTTCACAGATCAAAACTATCATTAGTCAGCAGTAAAATTACTGGTTCATATATAAAAAAACAAAATCAAGGGGAATTTTGCTGAAGAAGGCTGCTGAAATGGAGTCTCAGGCTTTTTACCATCAAAAGCCATCACTGAAGCTGACATATTCCTGCAAAATGTTTGCTTCCTATGACACTACACTTCAGCAGAAAATGAGTTTATTGCAACCGGCTTTGAGGAAAACCTTCTAGCAAGACCTGCTCCTTCCTTGCATTTACCCCAATAGTGATTCCCTGTTTTCTGCAGACTGCTTTGGGATTTTTAGCCAAGAGTGGCTGGGGGCTCACACCACCTGTGCTCTGAGCCAAATATTGTGTATGCAGGTCAGAGGGCTTCCCCTCCTCATTATCCACGGAACTAGGAGTCTAATCCAGCATTTGTGACCTTAGGCATCTTACTTTTCTTGTGAGTATAAAACTTGTCTTCTGGACCATCCTTAGCTCTCTTAATAATCAGCTTTCCCATTTCCACATCAACTTTGAGGTGTATTTTGGAGAAAATTCCTAGGGAATCTGCTTTCACCTGTTGGAAAAGAAAGCATTTTCATAAGTCACATTTATTATGAAAAGCAGCACGTGACTAAATTCATGGACACATAATGTCACTGCCAATCCCACCAGACATCCCTTAGACAACTGCACTGTGCTAAACGACATCCAGGAACAGTTGTGTTATCTCTATAAGAGCACAGCTGAGTTCCCAGGAAGTGAGATACTGAGATATATTTGCATTTATTGTCCTTCCACACTGTGGCAAGCTTTGCTAAATGAGCAATACTTACCTCAAAGGTGACGGGGGGGATGAGGGAGCGCCGGTGTGTTGAATCGGGGCCTTCAATCAACAGCGTTTTCACCTGCAGAAGTCACACACACAGATTTGAATTGGGTGATTCCACACTATGCTGAGAGCAGTAAGGGCAGAGCAAAGGTGTCTTTATGTGGCAGAGAACAGCACTGATGCTGAACCAGAGGCATACGAGGTTTTATAAAATAGCTCCACAACATTACCTTTTCTTCAATGGAGGACAGCAAAGAAATCAGCTGATTGAGTTTCAGTACAATATTGACTGGAGTAGCTTCACCAAGCATCTGATATCGACGACATGGAGAGAGAGGGAGAAATGCATCGTTACCAACCCCCCGAGCCTGGGCGCGCTGCAGTCTCGCCCCACGCGCACCCCTCATCCTGGCCTGAACCTCGTGGAAGGACAAACGTGCAGCTCTAGCCCGCAGGCTCAGCGAGGATGAGGGGACCTGTCCTCTGCCCCTTCCCTCTGGGACAGGACGGAGAGGAGAGCAGAGCTTGCCCACGCGGACCACCACGCTGTTCTCCATGCCCGCCCTCCAGCCAACTTACTTGCGAGCGCTGGTGGAGTCCAGGGTGCAGCTGCTGTTCAAACACCTTCTGGATGGACTCCAGGGACGGGAGAGTCCGAGAGGCTTCACTGGGAACAGAGACATGGCAGAGGTCTAAGGCAGGAGGGCATTTCTCAGCTGCTTCAGTGCTGACTGCCTTAGTTGCACTGCTGCGGAAGGCAACTTTGACTTAGGCCCCTGCCTTTGCCTTGCACAGATCTACTTTCTGTTTTTGCTTTGGAGATGGTGACTTCTTAAATCTCCCTGAAAACTGGGCCAAACCAGGGAACACTCTAAAACCAGCGTAAGCCAACTATGCCAAGTCATAGCTCAAAGCATTCTCAAAAATCTCAAGGGCTGACAAAGTCTGATGCCTACGATGTTGTCCTTGCAGCCACCAAGACTGCCACAGCGGGCTGGGAACATCAGGCAAGGAGATAATTAATTTCTAGACTTTCAATTGGCGTGACAGAGTGGTGCTGGGCGCAGCGAGGGATAGAAGAGCTACCCTTTAATCTCTTGAACGGGAACCTGTGCAGGTTACAGTGAGATTCCTTTAACTTTTCCAAATTAGACTCCACAGGATGCTCATTTGTCCATATGCCGCTCTGACTTTGGCAGAAGCAGCACTGTGCTAACGCCAAGACCTACCACGGAAAGAACGGCCAGGGAGCGCAGGGCAAAAGGAAGGCGATGGCGGGGAGCGCGCGAGGACGCTTGCGGCTATTAATGAGTTCCCTCACCTTCCTCAGTCTGCATGGACTGGATTTCACTCCCTGTTTCTTGGGGAAATTGCTCCAAAGTGAAAGTATGTCTCATAGTCTGAAGATATTTGTCTAGATTCTGAACCCATGGGTGATTTTTTGCCTACATTCAGCACTCGTGTTTGAAACTTTACTCCAAGAGACTCAGCACAGGGCGCACACAAATACAAGGCAGGCAGGAACCTAGTCCTGATACACCACAATTTGGCTTTGGATCAACTAGGGCAAACGTAAACAGCTGTGGCCCCAGGCCCAAGACTGCCATGGATTTCTCTGGCCATGAAGGCAGGTCCCATGGGGCTGCAAGGCAGTTGCAGGAGCATTAGGTGAAGTTCAGATTGACCGGAATCTGGTGGGATAGTTTCTGTGCCACAGACCACAGGACATACAAGCTCATCTCAGAAACACAGAGCAGCAGTTGCCTGAACCAGCTCAGGAAAGATTTCTCATGGGAAAACTGCCCTCTATTTACTGCAAGGTGCAATCCCTAATGTCTGCCTGAGGAATAGCAACTGCAGGTGTTCAAACTCAACAAAACCACAAAATGGTTGTAATTTCATGCCTAAGTCTTCTTGTTCTCTTCTCTCTAGTATAGAGGACATACATAGGGGCTTTCATCGAAGCATCAGCAACTTCTGCGACAGCACAGGATTGCACGAGTGTGGTTATCAGAAGCGCTTGGAAAAGCTGCTTTAAATGGAAAGCTGTGGAAAATATCCAGACAGGGAGAATAAAGAGGAGTGCAGAGTGGTGATTAGTGACCCAATGGCAGCTCTGAAGAGGAGTAGGTTGAAAATGTCACTGAATGGGTTCCACCTCGAGCTGGTAGGAAACGCTGAGCAAAGTCCACTCACATGGGCAGTCCCACTGCGGGTGCACCAGCTCCACAGGAATCAGCTTTATGGCTCCTGGAGGATTCCCCTGTTTTTTCATATTTTTAGCAGTGAATGCTTCACAGAAGCACCCATCACCCTTGCAAGTCTCTGCTTTGTTTTATTTTTAGTATGGGAGCTGTCGAAATGACAAGCCTCTGCTGGCAGCAACTGTCCTGTCCCCTGGGCTCCCACAAGCTGGTGTGACAGGGCAGCTCTCACCCCTCTGGCCATACTGGCCTACAGCAGCTGACTCTAAGGTGGTGGCAGCTTCCAGCACTGCTAAAAGCAGCTTTCCATCTGGCTAACAGGGGGGTTTGGCCCTGAATTTATTGCAGATCAACGGTAAGGAAGGGGATGCAGGGACGAGATCAGGCCTGGCTGTGCCGGAGCTCCTCATCCAAAACGAGGGCTGCTCCTGCCCGTGAATAACGCGTGCCCTGCAGAAGGGGACACTGATCACAAACACCCGCTCCAGCTCTTCTCCCACCCTCACGGAATGCTTTAAGCTGCTTTCTTCTATGAAAGCACCTATGACATCGAACTTGGTTAAGAAAAGGACACAGCCACGAGAAACAACCAAGGAAGTACCTGTGCATTCGTCTGGAACCTGCACAGCCCAAGGAAAGGTGAGGTAAATAAAAACTAAATTTAGGTAATGCCACTGACTATATTTGATTTCAGCAGCCTGACAAGGGAAGTGAGCCAAAAACACAGACAATCTCAGAGGCTCAGGAGACTGCAGAAACCAGTTAAATGCCAAAGCCTGTCACTATTAGCCAACGCGCGCCAAATGCGCGGTTGGGCTGGGCAGTGCTGATTCACGGGACAGTCCAAAGGGCAAGGGAGAGCTTCAGCAGAGAAGCTGACTGAGACCGAAACCAGGGAGAGAAGAGCGAGCCTGCAGCTATTTGACTGCCAGCAGAAATGGAGAAGCTTCATCTCACTGAACGAGGCTGGAGCACACAAGGCCCCACATTTCCATAACTGCACGTGGCTGGGCAGGGTGCTGGGCACGCAACGTGTCCTCTCCTGCGGTGCTGCCATGTCCCTGCGCTCAGCAGACCTGCAGGAGAAGTGACTCAGCTCTGTTATGGGCTCGCAATGCCCAGGCACCAAAAATCCTACAGGAAACCCAGCAATATAAAAGGCGTTGAGAGGCTTATGCAGCCTCTCCTGTCCTACCATCCTATATACATTTATGAGGAACAGGGTAGCGAACCCCGGTAAGGGGGTAAGTAGAATAAGTGGGAAATGGAAAAAGCCAGCCGTCATGTGAACAGAAGTGCTGCAGATATTTTAGTAACACAAAACTCTCACTTGTGATTTCATTAGCTTTTGGTTTCCATTACTGAGGTTTATTCTTAGCCAGACACCTGGGTCTCCCCCAGTGTGGGTGTAGAGAAACAAAACCCTCTGGCAAGGTGCAGAAGCAGGGTAGCTCTGTGCAAACCTGCTCCTTCATCCCGCCAGGGTCTTGCCTGGAGGAAGCTGGCATCTCTTGCTTTTCTTCTGCCTTGGTCAGCTCCAGAGGTACAAGACCTGCCGTACTTCTAAATACCCTGGGGAGAAGGATATTGCAACGGGGGAAGTAGGGGTCCTCTATCACAGAGTGCTTTCCTGAAGAACTTTGCAAAAAAGTAGGCTAGCCTTGCTGGATTAAAAGTATCAAGGGGGGGAAAAGCATGTTTTTCCACCACAGAAATTATGGGGAAGTCAGCAAGGTTTTAGTTCCCGTTGGAGTTTTCCTGTCTGGGCCTGGGAAAGACTAGATAGGTAGTGTGAAAATTGTAGAACCCAGGCTGATTTGCCTCATTACTGAGCTGGACTCCCCTACCAACAACAGTGAAATCACTCCAGGATCACACTGCTGTAGCGGGAAGGAAAAAACAGTGTTTAAAACACAGCTATATACAATATGTGCTTGTTTCCATAAACGACCTGTGCTTGACGATTCTGTGGGTGTCATCTATGCATTACCAAATTATGCAGTTAATCAGTGTATTTTTTGCTTTGTTTCTTTCTAAACGAAGCATAAAAAATATTGCATCAACTGAAACCGCCTACAGGGAAGCTTCACTGTCAGAGGCATGCCTTTTACTTGGATTTCACATCTTTGGACCAGAATCAGGGGTCATGAGATCCAAATATACCTCTTTTTTTGGTGGTGGGGGGTAAGCAGATTTACTATGCCAGAAACACAGGCTCTGACAGCCTGCACGTGGCACCTACAGTAGACTGCAGTGTTACAGCATTATACCAGCATCTCTGAAAAGGAGCCTCTGGTTACCTGAAGAGCCCTTTGCAAAGAAGCGTAAGTAGTTTCTTCAGTTGTGGAAGATTGCTTGAGCCAGTCTGCACCATCTCAAGATCACTGGTGATATGAACTCGCAGGTAGTCCTGGATGAGTTTAAGATGCTCATCAGAGACGCTGTGGAACATGTAGATAGGTCAGAAACATCTTCCTCTCACTGTTCCCAAATATCAGCCAGCTTTGTTATTTTTTTGTTATTGAGATAGGAGTCAGCAGCTTGGGGGCTCTATGGTGGTGAAAAGTGGCTTTCAGGGGCTGCCCCACAGTCAGACAAATGCAGAAAGCCCCACGTGGCTGCTTGGCAGATCAGCGAGTGTAGGCAGCAGACCACAACCACATCTCTGGGGCTGCCACCTTGCTCTCTTGAGGACTGGCCCATGGCTTCTGATACAATCTGTGGTTTGGGTACACAGCGAACAAGCCAGGTTCTCTCAGCCATTGTCATATCTTACCTTAGAAAACTATGTCTCTGTGCAGAAACTCAAACTATGATTTTATACTTCGAGAAAGCCTTTTTTCCAGATTTTTTTTTTCTAGTCCTACTGTAAGGAATAGCTCACCTACGGTAGGTGTAATTCTGTTCTCTGTGTGGTGATATAAACGAGGAATATAAAATAATGTCCTCGTTTATTTATGATATGGATGAGTTGGGCTAAAATCAGATAGGTCCCCAGGCAGAGCCCCCAGGAAGGCGCAGAGCTGGGCTGCCGGTTGCCTTGGCCGCCCTGCGACTTGCCGGTCTCACCCGCTTGTGTCCTGATGCTGCAGCCGCTGGAGTAGTGTCTCGGGAAGGGACAGCTTGCTGGCGTCGGCCACGCGGGAGGTTTCGGGGAGAGAAGGCACCTCCTTCACGTCACTGCTTGGCAAGGCCATGAGGATATTGCGGGGGGGCAGGATCGGCGGCGTGGGGACCAGGTCTGGCAGGGAGGAAGGGAAAGGCACCGTCATCCCGGTACCGCAATCGGATCACATCCCCTTCACCCCTGCGCTGGGCTCAGAGCTCACGCGCAGTCAGCGCCTGCCCTGGCCTGTAGTCCGGCTTCGTCCAAGTGACATCGATCAACACCACCAAAAGCCACCCGGGCACCTGCAGGCCCAGCACGGCTCCAGGAGGATCGTGCCAAGCGCCTTGCAAAATCCAATCCCCGCGCCCCGAGCTAACGCCTCTCCACGGGCAGGCTCTTCGTCTTGGTTCCACCTTCCCGCCCTGCTCCTCACCTGGCTTATTACCCTTGCTGCACTTTCCTGCTCCACCCTTGGAGCCGCAGATCTAGTGCAGCTGCCCAAAACCCTGCAACACCTTTCCTGAGCAGCCTTGAAAAACTTTGTTCGGTGAGAATTTCCTACCAAAATTTCATACCAATATCCAGCTCCCCTTAGAGACCCACTGGGCTGTGCGAATGCGCACAGGAACGTCTGCTTTAGCGCAGAGGCCTGTGTCGCAGGGACGAGTTTTACTGTAATACTCAACATTTCCGGACAGACATCGGAAGGATGGCTCTGTGGGCGTCACTCTCCCCTGGGAATTAGGAGAACAACGACAGATTCAAGGGATGATCCAGGAGAAATCCAAGGAGGAGGATGCCTGAGTTTCAGACAGGCCTAGACCCTCCACGGCTGCAGGCGCATGGTGCTGCAGATGCCACGTCTCTCCAAGCCCTGCTCCGTCTGTGCTCAAATCCCTTGTCTGCAACCCTGAGTACGTGTCACGCACCCCGATCACCCAGCCGTTTTGCAGGTTTCTTACCAGCATCCTCTTCTGGTTCGTCTGCTGCTTCCTCCTCTTCCCGCGGCACCGCGTATTTGAGGTGCCACACCAGGCCCATGTTCTCCTGCTTGTAAAAGTCAATCAGCTCCTCCAAGTTCTCAAAATACTTCACGGGAACGCCCTCCGATGCCTGAAACAGCCCACAAAACACAGAGGTTGTGGTGGCCTGGAACCTCTCCCACCACAGAACTGTTGTTCCTCATGGGAGGGAAAACGAAGTTAGAGAGAGCCAAACCCCCCTCGCTGCGCAGGGAAAGCCGGCCCAGCTCCTGCTGCCCATCTGACCACTGGCACCGTGGCCAGAAACAGATAGGCAGGCGCGACCCAGCCAGCGTCACCAAAATGGGCACCTCAAAGGCTCGGCAAAACCAGATGGAAGAGCTTTCTGGTCCGATTTGGTGCTCCTGGCTTTGAAGTAAAGAAAATCCTTCATAACAAAGAATTCCTCGGGGCTATTTTTCTGCATTGCCTCTTTCACCAAGTGCAGAAACTCTAGACTGGTGCATTTTGCAGTATGAAGGAAGACTTTTTTTCTGTGGAACGGCAAGACAAACATGGCTAATCTAGATTTCAGAGCCCCTTCCCCAACTCAAAGGTTCAGAAGTAGGTTCAAATGAAAAAAAAAGCTGGCAAGGCACTTTCGTTGTCACACAAAATATCCAGATGAAGACCTAGGAAGCTGAGAGCCAGGGCACAGCGAGGACTGGATGCACCGGTCGTGGCACTAAGGTTGTCAGCTGAGCTTTAACTGCAACTAAACTTGCTTCTAGCACGGTCCTAGTCACTAAAATCAGGAAAACGATGCTTGCAGATGGCAAACGCAGAAGTAAGCTCTCCCCAGAGCAGCCAACGCAAGAGTGCAGCAAAATGTCCTCAAGAGCAGGGAGCTGTGCAGATTAGAGGTCTTCCAGGCCCACGAGATGGTTTTTCTTTTACTGGTTTAAAAGAGAAATGCTAGGAACCATTTATATCTAGGGATATGGCAATAGCAGGCGCTTCAAAGGAGCTCACGCTATCAGCAGGCTCGACACGCACCGTTTTATATGCACAAAGCTAAATTTCACCCAGGAGTGTTTAGTTGTTAAAACTTTTCCTGCAATTTGGAAGAACTTTTTATGTGGCTGGACTTCGGGCATCTGCGGGGAGGAGATTATCTCTTCTTTTTGGACTGCACTAATTGCCTGTAAAAATTTGAATGCAAAATTTTAATGCGAATTTGAACAAGCTTATTCGCCTGCTGTTTGCATTTGGCCAATCGCTTTTTATCTGTGAACTTCTTTGGTTTAAGAAGCAAAGGCGGCAGAAGCAAGGCGTTAAACAGGAATAACGCTGGAATAAGCCTTAGGGAGCATCCTGCTTGGAGACGCCAACTGTTGAGGCGGAGGATCTGGATTGTAGCAAGAAATATCTGCTCTCTTGGAGTGACCGAAGGAAGAACATTGCCTGGCACGGCCAAACGCCGCCTCCGCGCGAGCAGGAGGAAAGGCTGAATTAGCACTTTTTGCTGCCAAGGATAGTTCGGTCTCTGTGGCAACCAGAAGCAGCAGCATTTTGTAACAGGCCTCCTTCCTCTGCCTCCTTGCATGGCATTTCGGGAGGACGCCAGCCTTTCTGGAGTGGCTGGAAAGCTGCTTTCCCACAGCGTGTCCCAGTGTCTCCCATCCTCTAGAAACTGCCCGCGGTCCTGCAGGCCCCAATGTCCCTTCCATCTTCTCTAAATTCACTGCATGACAGTTTAAAACCATTAGCTACTGGTCTTGGGCTAAGTCTTGCAATCTGTTTTCCAGATTTGTCTACCTAGATGTTTTGACAGGTTTTGATATGACCGATCAAAATCCACTCTTCCTTGACACCGGGTGTGAAAATGCCACCAAATCGCCACACCGAAGAAGTCTCTTCTTCATTATTAGTCCCAAGCCATTTCTTCCAGCCACCAACCCCCTTGACAAGGACAGAGAGGACCTGGCTGAGGAGCAGCTCTGAAGACACCTTCAAGGAAGCAGGTAGGCTGCAAGTTGTGGAATGAAGACAGTGTATGAAGCTGTGCAGCCCGAGCCAAGACGGGCAAGGAAGCAGTTAACTTGGGGTTCATCACCGCGCTGTATAAATAGATGGCACAGGAAGCCTGGGGCCCTCCAGAGGAAGAGGAAGCGTTTTCCTTTCCTGAGCCAAGGCTCAAGGAGGAACTAGGAAACTGGTCATCTGCTTATATTGCCTAAGGCCAGGCTTTTCGAGCCACAGGGCCTTAAAGCAGGTATCAAAATCCACACCCAGGCATTTCGGCAGCTGGCCACAGGTTTGCAAAGTTCTTGGAGTACTGTTGACGTACAGGAAGGCTGTAAATCAGGGCACCTCTAATTCAGTGCAAAATACTGGCAGGAGCTTTTCTACTTTTAGAATTTGCAAAATTCTTCTAAGGTGTCCTAGTTTGGGCCAAGCTTGTCTTGATGATGGTGAGTGAGGAAATCTAGGTGGCATGTTTAAATCTCCTTTCAGCTCTCATTTAGGCAAGTTTTTCCATCGCTGTGAAGAGCTGAGTCCAGTAGCTCAGAAATTCCTGCTCAATGATTTGCAAAGCACCTTCGAGCAACCTGCTTGGGTTTCAGTTTTGTTTTGTTCACAAGCAGGTATTATTTTTAGAGCCAGCCTCACGCTCCGCAGTCGCGGGAATGGCACCCACACACAGGAACTGCAGCTGGGAGAAGCAGCTGCTTCCCAAAATAGGAGCCGCCCAGGAACGTGGGATGCTCCGAACGGCAGGAAGAGCGCGGAGCCGAGTGGCGGGCGCCATGGGAGAGGTGCCACAGGGCGCTGGCAAAGACGGGGATGTCCGGACTGTGACTGGCAGCTGGAGCAACACCTCCCCATCCAGAAAAAAATAATGCAAGTTTTAGGGAAAAAAAGCACAATTAATGGCACAGCTGTGAATCAGAGAGGACTGAAAGCAAATGGTCCCCATCTCTTCCAAGATGGAGATGACAGAAGCTGTTCTGGACCCTTCCTGCACATACGGGTTGGTCCTGATGCTCCAGTTGGCCTGTTGACATCACTTCAGTGCTATCAGCCTTTCGTGTTTAAGATGCTGGGTGGGAATCATGGAAATTAGAGACTTTGGGGAAGGAGGTTCTGGAACAGGAGATTATGAATAGCAGGAAACAAGGAATTGCATTTTAGTTGCAACTAAGAGTGCATTATTTCTAGCCTGTGTTCCTGGGTAAAAATCAGACATCCCAAAAAAAAACTAAGTTAAAAGATAGAAAAACAAACAAACAAAAAAAGAAGAAGAAAATTGCCATGTTGTCAAGCCTAGAAAACTCCCTCTGTTTCTAAAAAGTAACTGAAGGACATGGTTACATCTTGCCTCTGCCACAAACTGTCTTTTTTAAGCACAGTACTGACTTAAAAGACACTGTTCACCAATGGCTGGCACTGCCCCACCAGTCCTTTTTCATTATACGCATAAAAAATGGGAAAGCTAAACAAGTTTTGCTCCTTTTCATACCAGCATGCTCACAACATTTGTTCAAGTTCAGCACCCTACTTGCTCGCTTGAAATACGTGCATGAGATGCGACTCCTATTCCCAATAGCTGGAAACAGGTCAGCTGGGTCTGGATAGGCATTTTTGCCTTCATTGCTAACAGGACAAGTGGAAAATCTGGAGTTCACCTCCAAATTGCCTGAAATGATGTAAACCTGCATTAAAACCTGACGCATTCGTTGACCCAATCGTTTAATTGCAAACGCTCAATGCTTTAAGACGTGGAGCGTGAACCCGATTTGAGGTATGCATAAGGGGATCCTGACTGCCAGATCTGCCCCTGGTGTCCCTGCAAGATCTTTCTGCTGCACGATCCCAGCCCAGCTTTGTCCTGTCAGCCTGGAGATCGGCCGTGTTCACAGGAGGAAGCGCTCCCATGGCAGAACTGGGACACTTGCTAACTAACATAGTCTGCTGAAGAGAAGTAACGCTTATAGGTGTTTCAGTAGAGCATGGCTGGCTCTCAAACTATCATCTTTAGTTCCTTGTAAAAACTCTGCAGCTTAAAGAGCAGCTATTAGAAGATGTGGAAGGTGAAGGACCTAGAGAAGTCTTCTGAACTAGTGTTCTCCCACACGAAATAGAGACAAAAGTCCCAAACATTACATGCTCAAGCTGTGTTTTAGGACCCTGGTGTACTCCGGCACTCCACAAGTCCCACAGAAGTATGCTTCCTGCTAAATATATAACTAATACTGCCAGACACGAGTGAGCAAGAACAGCAAGTATTTGCAGAACACGCCGCCACCACTTGCTCGAGGTTGTCCTCCATGCTATATAAAGCGCTCAAACTCCAACTATCAAAATGTTTCAACCACACAACATATTATGATCCAACTCGGAGCACTGACAGAGACCGACAGAACAAGCAGCTCTCACAGCATTTCTGCCTCATAATATATAGGATTTATAGCAACAACGAGCAACCGGCATTGCGGTTCCATGGCGGAACAGCAGGGACCGGCGTTAAATTTAGCCACCGGCTGCAAGTCAGATGAGTTGGTGATGAATGAGCAAAGACTGCAGAACCATGGGGAACTGATGCAAGTTTTTTTTCTATTTTATTTTAGCACTTCTGTAGCGTGTGGGTAGCCTGTAAGCCAAAGTTTTGGAGCGCGCTACTTCTGGCAACTTGTGTAATTTCCTCTCAAGTCCTATGCTTTTTGGTTTTCCACTTTAAAGCTACAGCTCTTGAAGTCTAATGAAAATTTCCATTTTAATTCCTTCAGAAAGTCCCTAGCTCTAGTGGCTACTGAAATGAACTTGAAAACGCGGGTCCTCAAGAGCCAGCAAGGCAGCAAGAGCACATGCAACACCGCCGCGGAAAGCAGAGGATCCATAATTAACTCCTCGTTCTCCCTACCTGCCGTCTGTGCTGGATGGATCCCACCCATGCACAAACCAACCAGATTGAATATTATACAAAATATCCAGCAGAAGAGAGAAAACACCACGTCAGTGAAGTCGTGTTTCCGAAGCCATACTGCCAAAGGAAGCAAGGCCGGCAGCTCATGCACGTGAAGCACCATGTTCAAGTGCACTGCGCAGCTCTCCAGGGTTGCGTAATTAAAAACCATATGGCAACGCACA